ATTTTACTGTGTGTGACATACTGTGCGATCCTACCTTTCTCTATTATCTAGTATTTGATATTTGGAAAGCAGATTAGTTATACCACATAGCAATGCCAGTTTTCTGTTCAAAAAGAGAAATGTATTTATATGTTTTTATAATCAAAGTATTACAAATTAACTGCAATTAAAGATTAACTTTTTAAGGTTGACCGTCTAAATTTAAAACAATAAATAAATGAAGAGCAAGAGGGAATGAGGAATTCCTAAGGAGGTTCTTCAAACTACCAAGGGGCCTGCATTTCTTTACTTTGCTCAGTTAAAAAGGCAAAGAAAACTACAGAGTGAACTGTGTTTAATTAACTTGTATTAAGATTAATTTCCTAAATTAATTGCCTAAATTATGCAATTTTTATATTGAATATTTCAAACTTGAAACAGAAGAAATATTTATCTGATGGATGTAAATGGCAATGGTCTCTGTTATGATCAAACCTGCTCAAAATCATAATTTCTTTTTTTCTCATAGTAAAGCAAGCTTTCCACAATTCTGAAATGTGTTTATTGTGGCAATGTTATTGATGGGGTTCAGGACAAGCCACCCCAAAATACAGTACCTTGGCATATTGAATCTCTTAAGGTGGGAGAGTCTGAAAAAACAGCAGAAGCAGAAAGGTCACCCTGACATCTCCCACCTCATCCTTCTTCCCTGAAACAGGCCATAAAACTCCTATGTGACAGGTACCCTCCCTGTATCGAAGGAGGCAAGACATTCTTGTCACCAGATATGGTGATTTTGGGGCTGAGAAATCTGTACACACAAACCTCCTTAAACTAACCCTTATCTTCTTAGTTACTTCTTCACCATTTACTACCCATAGCTCACACCCCTCTGTCTTATAAAATCTTTACACATTTACTGCTTCTTTGTCTAAAAGGATAGAAAAACTTCCTGCTCCAGTCACTTCCTTGAGTCTTCATTCTCTTGTGAAGGCTTCCACATACATGTTAAAATTCAACACACTTTGTATGCTTTTTTCCTGCTAATCTGTCTGTCAGTTTGGTTTTCAGACCCAGTCAGAAACAGTAAGAGGGTGGAGGAAAACTTTTTCCTCCCTTATGTTACTAACCTCGTATTCTTTCTGAATCACATTAGCCTGTTAAACATCCCAAAGCACTTACATAATTCACCTGTAAACTGTCCTTGACTATTTGAACCCATATATCCTATGTCAAGAAGGTCGCTGGCATTGCGCTGGTGGCTTCCCCTCAAGGGCTCGGCTTTCCTGGGGCCAGTGGATCCCTTAGAAGAAGCCGTTCCTGATGAGCTGTGACCCCCTGGAGATGGGAAACTGGGCTTGCTGTAGGGCACCAAGGTCTCCTCTGAGAAAAGAAACACAAAGGGCTGAGTTGAACAGCAACAGGGAAGCAAAACAAACTTAACTCTAAATATTAAGCTCAAGGCGGGCAATTTTATTATCTCACTCTTTAGTAAAATTAAAAATAAGATGCTTAATAAGGCCTGGATATTAAAGGAATTTCCATGTGCAAGCAACATTTCCTATGAGAGGAACTGAAGCATGATTAAATTAAAAGAGATCTTGGGACAAGTATATGATACTATATATCATATGCAAGATTTAAATTCATTATAAAAGAGATCTGCATACAATGAATCAACCCTGTTGTTTAACAAAAGCACTTTTGAGAATAATTTCTGGAGTTCAATGAGGCTGCAATTTAATTTTTCCATTAAGATGGAAGGAATATGGTTTTTTGTTTTAAATTATGGCAACATTTTCTCAATCAGTGTAAAGAACTATATATTAGTTAATAATATAAGCTTCTTAAATTTCTATTGTTTCTTGGAATACAAATATATTATTTGAAAGGCTGTGTATTTCCTTAAAAGAAAAACTCATTTTTATAGTGTTAATATTCTTTTTATGAACCATCTCTCTACAAACAATTCACGATGTGCATTACTTAATACTTGGAATTAATTTTTTTTCTTTCTTTCTTTTTGTTTTTGCTTGTTTTTTTCTTTCCTTCTTTCTTTTTTACCTTCTCTCCCTCTCCACACTATACTGCTTTTTTTTTTTCTTGGTACAGGTTATTATTACTGTGATTAGATCACTGAAAAAATGCTAACTGAATTTAGTATTTCTCTTCTTAGATAGTCTTTAAGGACAAAAATCTCGTGATTTTTCTCTTGCAGCCTTAATGATGTAAGCTTCCTAAATGTTTCACTATATCTAGATACTAATATTATCATCTTTCAGCCCTTTCCTAGTAATATTTTCTAAAACCTTAATAAATAAGTTGTGATGAAATATAATTATTGAGAATGCATGTAGAGGACATATCTGAAAAGACTGAGCCCAAGTGAATAAATAATGGGTAAGAAAACTCTTCCAATTTTCTTTTTTTAATGTGTGTATGTCTGTGTGTGTGTGTGTGTGTGTTTTAATATGCAGTGAATCCTAACATAAGAAGAGATGTTCCAGAAAATACATTTCTATATCCAGCTCAACATCCCCCCGACAAAAAAATCCAACCACAAGCCATGAAATTTATTTTGTGACGTTTCCAGAAAGCTTGATTTATAAACAAAAACATTTCCCATTGAAGTGTTAACAATCAACTAAATTTAACTAGTTGGAGCAAGTGCAGGCCCAGTTTAACCTTTTCTAACGTGAGCATTCTGTGATTGCGTACTTACTTGCAACTTTATTCCCATTAATTTAGCCATTTGACTGAAGTGAGTTCTCTCAAAATGACTAGTTACTTCAGTCGGCAATGACTAAATTGATTGAAGGCAGAGATTCAACTGATACTAAAGATGCAATTTAATGGTCTTAAAAGTACTCAGTATAAACATTAAAAGGCAAAAAAGAAAAATCAAATGGCCTCCTGAGCACCACAGATGAAGCCTGGAGGTCTCCTGGGCTCAAAGACCCCACGCAGAGGTTAGCTCGAGGGACAGCCCCCACTGGATTCTGCCTTAAGGGATGTGCTGGGAGCTGTGAGGCGGAATTCTGACTTCAGTGAGTCATTCCAGGCAGATGCATTTCAGGCGCCCTTAAGCAACCGGCACTTCTAAAATACCTGGTAGAAAAACAAAATGGTAAAAGTCCACACTTTCTTGGGACTGTGCAGAACACACCTGGTCCAACACCTTGTTTGTGGAGGGCTTTCCGTGTGTCTTCCTGACGTTCTGTGCAGTTTATCCATTCCTGGGTTTGTCGCTGCCACTCTAGGGACGTTTTAGCTGGACAATCCAGTGAGCTCTTTGTGTCTTCTAAGTTGGATGCTTGTTGTCTCTCCAGAGAGCTTCCTTTTCTCTCTGTTGAGTTTTCCACGTTACCAGCATGCTGGCTCGGGCCTATTTGCTGCCTTAAACCCTGACCTGGAGGGGGATCTGGTGGTGGTGGAAGATCTAAAAATTTTGAATAATGTTTAGAATGGACTAAGATGTAATGAAAAATACAGGTTTTAATTCAAGATGAAGAAAAACTCTTGCCCTCCTAAAGGTATCACCCATGCAAAATAAATTTGGGCGGGAGGTGGGGAAGGTCATTTATTTATATCCACAATGCACATCACTGATCTCTTTGCCATCTTTTGATCACAGTGTCTTTGAAATAAAATCGACTGGTTTTATCCAACTCTTATGCATGGAGAGTGTTTTCAATTGCACATTGAAGCTAATGTTCAAGGTGTAAAGGGAAGTTCATGGTTTCTCCATCTCTAATCCATTGTCCACTGCCACCTTGCCAAAGTAGAAATACCATGACACAAAATGACTCGAAATTCTAGCCGCTGTGTTAATAAAAGGCCCTGAGAGGAATGAAAGCTGCCCTGCCAATCTCCACAGGAAATGTTGCCCTCGGGAAATTAAGAATTGTATGCCGTATCATATGCCGCAGCATGTGACTGCCCTTGCCCAAGTATGTGGCACATTTAGCAACAGTCAAAGGGTTGAGCTAACATTTATTAAATGCAATTAACATTCTGCCTGACAACCAATTCTGGCTGTTCGTTTCATGAGCTAGCTAATGAGTTACAACTAATATATTATAATCTTCCAATGTATTAATTTTAATAAGTAATAACCAACTTTCAGAGTTTAGATAGAATATGCTTCATGGTGTTAGAGTAGACAATGCATCATGAACATTCGTGATGCAGTGGGATAGATAATTTTTCATAAAAGCTCTTTACATTATGTATCAGGTATGAAAAAATTAAAAGTTCCAATACTCAGCTAATTTCTCATTTTCCTTCTATTAGCTCTTCAGACCATGACCATTCTACATTTTGAATGTCTTCAATTGTGAAATCATAGTCCCTTCTTTCATATTTCCTTTAGTATTATACTAGTTCTGTTGTACAATTTATACTATTATACTAGTCCTGAAATTACTTTGTTGATTTTGAAATTTTCTAAACATTCTAACATTCTTTTGGATTATTTTCTTCTCATTTTTTTTGGAATGCTCTTGATCCTTAAAGTATCAGCAATTATATTATTTGCTCACAAAGGATCAAATATCATGTATAATATACTTATTTTTATCACTAAGACAGGATACTATATACAACATAGGTAATTATTTCCCATACCAGTTTAGTAATGGCACATTTGTTTCTCATAATATTGTTTGTGAAATTTAAAAGGGAAAAGCATAAATTCTTGTGTACAAAAGATAGTTTCTTTAAAGAATGCTAAGTAGCTCCTTTTAAAGACTTTCTTAAGAAGCCTCATACTCTCTTTTATGAGCAAATTGATATGGTCCTCTACTGAACTGACAATGAAAACCTCCTGAGCATCTGCTCAGGAGTTCCCAGCATTCCCAGTGCTCATGTATGTCCTCTTGTTAGATTATGAATTACTAATCACTGAAGGGAACAAGATCTCTATCTGGGAGAATAAAGTTGCAACTGAAACACTTCTCCCAAAATGAAAAGCTAATCCAATATTGAGAGATCTGTTGGTTGAATAATCCACCAATGAGTTTGGTGTTTCCTTTATATTCAATACTGACTTCCTTCAGTATGTATTATTATAAATGCAAATTAATTATTTCATTTGAGTTATTGTACTTAAGACTGCCAGGAGGGAAAAATGATTATATTTGCTTCCAAAACAACATATCTTGTCATTGATTTTTATTCTCCATCAGAGCAGCTTAATTTTTAAAATGGCCCAAATGGCATCTGCTTATGCTAGCTAAAATTCTGATGACTATTTAATTTAACCTGAAATTATATGGCTACATAATTAAGTAATATCCTTGGAGTTTGTATATTCTAAGAAGAAAGAACATTACACGCATGTTGAAATAAACAAATTGGAAAAAAAGATGAGATTAAGAATGGCTGTGGAAAAAAATAAAAGTACGTAATCAAATATGTTTACTTAAATTAAATTTATTATTCATTTCTCTGTTGATTCATTTCAACTAAATCAATTCGCTAAAGAGTCTCTTACTGGCCTACTGAGGATTTGCTTTTGTCAGGCACACAACAGTCCAATGATATATATGCCATTATTATGCCCTTTTTTTAGGTAGGAAAAAGAAGGCACAAAGAAATCAAGTATCTCCAGCCTGGATCTCTGCTTCTGTGAACTCCAGACTCAGCTAACTAAATTCATACTGGAGAGTTCAGCTTTGATGTCTAGAAAGCAACTGAAAGTTCACACATCAGAACTGAGCTCTAGACCTTCCTCAACCAAATATGCTTCCTCTCTGGTGTTCCTCATCTCAGTTACTACAAGTTGGCCAGAACTTTGGAGTAATCTTTGGCTTCCTTGCTTTAGAGCCTTTATTAATGTCACTAACAAATCATGTGGGCTCTGCCTTCAAACTATGCCCAGAATTCAACCATTCTCATTGCTTCCACTGATTCTCTAGTGCCTATTCCTGATATTACTCCTACAATTTCCCGTGTGGTTTCCATAATTCTACAGAGAAGCACAGTCTATCTCAGCATAACAGCTAGAATGACTTCTTTTTTATAAAAAATATAAGGAAAATCCTGTTGTTCCTCTGCCTTAAACATGTGCACACACATACACAGGCAGGCACACGCCTTCAGTGGTTTCCCATTCACAGTAAAGAGCCATGTCCTTGCAGAAGCTTAAAGGCCCTACAGAACACTGGCCCTCACTGCCTCACCTGACTTCACATTGTTTTGTTGTTCCCTCTGCTTCAGTCACACTCCTCTTCCTTTCAATAAAACATTTCAGGACTCCACTCACTGTTCTCATTTCCTGGAATGACTTTTTCTCAGATAGCAGCATTGTTCTTTCCCTTGTAACTTTCCAGTTTTTTCTCAAATGTCATCTTGGTAAGCCTTTCCTGAACACTCTACTTTAAAAATATCTCCTCTCACATTTGTACCTCTCAACTTCCTCTCTATGATTTTTTCCCTCTATTTTTTCTCACTTATCTTCATCATACTTATTTTTATTTTTCACTTATAAACTTCTCTCACTGGAGTTTAAGCTCCAGTTTTGTCTGTATGGTTCCCATGGCCTATAATTTGGTATGTGCTTAATAAATTTTTGAATGAATAGATTCATAAATAAAGAAATTTGCTCAAAGTCAAAGGTGGATTGTGGCAGATCTGGGCAAGCACTACTTCTCAGATCAGACAGTAGGAGTGAGGGGAGAACAGGTTGGAAGGAGATGACCCAGGGAAAAAAGGTTGACAGATAGAGAACTACTTTAGCTGCCTCCTTCGTTCAGTACTGGTCGATGTATTGGCTTTTAAGCATACCCTCTGGCTTTATACAAAAAAAAAATAGACAGTTTGGACTGAACAAGTCCTGCTTAGATGAAGCTTTATTCAAGGGAGAAGAACACTTCTTAATATGTGTGTGGGTGTTTGCGTGATCTTTGAGACAGAGACCGACATATCCCACCATTACCAGTTCCTCTTTTTGGACACCAGGAAAGATTACTTTCCCACTCCAGTAGTTAGTCTGAAGCCATGTGACTGAGTTCTTGCCAATGAAACAGAAGTGACAGGTGCCACTTACAGGCCAGGCCACAGAACTTCCAAATAATCACCTATGTTCTCTCTTTCTCTCGCTCAGAAACTAAAAAAGGTTCCATGTTGAAAATAATGGTGTCCCAATATTTAAGAAGCATACATTTTTATACTACCACTTAGAGGACAGCCCCCTGACCTTTATAAATCATTGTGTCCTTGAGGAACAGACTCTGACTGTGCTAAGCCACTGAGGGACAGAAGCTGTTTGGTATAGCAGCTAACAATACTTACCCTGATTAATACACTCATGAAACACAACTGTAAAATCTATAATGCAAAACTTTTAGTGTGAAATGTCTGTTCATTGAGTGCGCCTAGACAGCAACCTTCCCTAAAAGGACAGCTTGGTTTTACATATAAATACTACAGATTTGTTACTGATGCACAGACTCACACCGTATCAGTGCTATGACACATGCATTTGCTGTGAAATAGCAGTATTCTTCAGGATGATCCACAGAGTGCATCCAAAATAAATATCCTTGTATCATAACTGAAATATCTTTGGGTTAAACACTTGGGAAGACTTGTGAGCCAAAATTTCCTCTGCAAGATCACTACTTCCAAAATGTATCTACATAATAACATATAATAACGCATAATCCCTTAATAACATATAATCCCTAACCTTTTTTGGAATGCTGGTAAATCTGAAATGCTAGGAACCTGTTTGCATTTTAGAAAGATAAGTAATAATATTGGTCATGCTTTCAACTAGGAGGTAGCCTGCTTTAGCCAGACATTCTGAAAAATTTTTCAAGGAAAGTTTTAGGAAGAAAGAAAAGGACTCTCTATCTTGTTGATTCATATTTTATAGCTTTCACATATTCTGGATATCATCTTCAAACATTTCAGAAAAGCCACAAAAAAACATATGGGACCTGGATTTCCCCCTCCTCTTTCCTTGACATTCATAGTAGGAAAATTACACAAAAGTACTAATGCTGAGGTTTGTAACTAGCGTATCGGGGAACGAGATCAACACTATAGATAGCCTTAAGTGCCCAACTAATGTTCAGATCATCTGAGGCAGAAAGGCAGTGGTAAGCATTTTTGCTCACCGCAGGATAGCCACTTATAGAGAATCAAAATCTTGATTGTACCCTTACCCCCATACTCCACAGAAACCCTTCTCAATGAAAACAAAGTAAGCAGAAAAGATAAAGTGAACCTGAAGGCTCTTGGACCAAGTTATTTTTGACTTTAACAGTCTTCCTAGGATTATAAAATGACTGGTCTTCCAGATAAAGACCTACTTCCAAACCAGTGAAGAACATACCCTTCTTTTCCCACTAGGCCCCACTCCGTCCTACAGTGGCAAGTCTCAGGGACCGAGACGAGTGCTGAGGAGTGGCCGTAGCTTCTCACAGTTGCCTGCACAGTCGACTCACCCGTGGAGCTTTAAAAATACCCATGACTGGTTTTCACCCGAGAACAATTAAATCAGAACCTCCAGGGTGTATTTTAAGAGCGCCTCAGATAGTCTCAGCGTGCAGTTTGGCTAGATCCAAGCCTTTGGTGTTTAGTAGTACTATCTCAGGAAAAAAGCTTTTGGCTTGTAGGAGGTGGTGCAGAGAAGGGGGAAGAAATTTACATTGGGCCCCACATGAAAGTGGGCTCTTTCAATCCATTATCATACCTATTCCTTAAGATAGAACTTTAGGATAAATACTTTTATTTGCGTATCTACACGTGAGGATTAAGTTTAACATAGAGCTGATGCACTACTCATTATTGAACAAGGACATCTTCCAATAATATTGTGTTTCCTGAAACTAGCAGTGTTTAAGCAAACAGTCAAAGATAGGAGGCTACACATAAATAAAAGGATGGACACAAATCAGCAGGCTGTGGCCCATGGGCTAAATTAGGCCAGTGCGTGTTTTTCCATAAAGTTTTACTGGAAATAAGTCACACCTGCTCATTTATTTTTTTCTACTGCTGCACTATAGTAAAAAAATGGTAGTGTTCTGTAGTCTTGACAGAGGCTGCATGGCTCGCTGAAGCCAAAAATATTTACTATCTGGATATTTCAGAAAAAAAAGTTTACTAACCCATCAACCAAATGAACTGTAGCATATTTTTAGCCCTGGAATTCACGACACTAGATAATTACTAAATTGGAAATCACTTCAGTCTTTTCCAAGTGTGAAATGCCATCTAAGATATTTTCATTTAATTTCAAAAGTGACCCAACAACATGGCAAGTGCACAGGCTACTTACGTCTTCTTCCTTAATCTTAAAAGGGAATGCTCATTAAAAAGCACTCATGGAAAATGCCAGAATGGCGGAAAAACCAACATTGCAAAACGGTATGGCATATATTTATTTCTTGGGGCTGGGTAATGTAGAAGTAACTCCAGATTGTTTAAAAAAAAAGGGGGAGGGCGTTTTACTTAATAAGACCACATTGCCGGGTGTGCAGTCCGGTTACATGACGAGGCAATACCTACTCTACCAGAGCTCCTTCATCTACGTCAGTGATCGCACAGAGCTCGTCTCTCCCATGAGGAGACAAGAGAGAAGGAAACCAACCTACCATCTGGCAGTCCTTCCCTTCGATGAGGCAATGCTGGTTGTGGGTCCACTCGGCCTCCCTTGTGTTTTTTAGTGGGCCGAGGCCTCTGACTCTGACTCAGGGCTGCACTGGTGTTACTGTCAGTGGAAAATGGGCTGGTTGGCCGAGGCCTCTGAGAGGAGGTAAAGGCTTTGCCTAAAAGGGAAACAAAGGGGACGGAGTACAGAGACTGTTATTATAAGACATTGATTCTGTCTTGTATTTCTGCTCTTGCTAAGACTAACCTCTAAGCCTGCCTAGAGATGCCATTTGAAGATACCAAATACCAGTGCATCTCCATAGAAAAAATATGCCCTGCTGCATTTATTTTGTCCAATTTTTATAACCAACACACCCTCCACTGAAAAAATTCAAACAAATGAAAGTAAAATAAGTCCACCAACCAAAAGCTCAGTATTCCTTGATAATATTTTTATTTAATTTTGACAGTCTTAGTGCTATTTTCATAGATATATGCAAATTCATGCAGCTTTTACTTCTTAAAATTAAAGAAGCTATTTCTGAAGTGAATTGTACACTGTCTTATTTGTTTAAACACGTTTCACCCTTGGAATCTTACAAACTCTCTTTGAGCACAGAAAAATGTCCTCTAGTAATTCCATTTGAAATTTTACATGAAAGGTCTGCTCAGACACGTATCTTAAATTGACTTCACCAGAAAACGCAGAAACATTAGTGCACAGTATAGGATAGGTAGCAGGTTAAAATCACCTTGTCTATCCCAAGTGCAATAGGTGTTTTCGGATGAATAGTATTGTATCTGAGCAAACTCCAACCTCTCATTGAAAAAGGAAATATGCCATGTCCCCTTCTTGTAGTTAAGTGTACATATGCAGGTAAATTTATTCTAGGAAAAGGTTAGCTAATACATTTTCAACATCTTATGATGTTAATAACAGGTTTATTATGGTGTGAGAGGGTTGGTTTATGTGCATGTATTTATTCTCTTGTGTATGTTTTCATTTCACCACAAATTATTGTATGTAGTTACATTTTAAGTCAATGTGACATGATATAGCTTAATGCTTTATTAGCTATTAGCATACATGCAAGAACTGTACTATGCTTTCTAATTTATTAGTTTCCTTGCACTTTCTCGCTACTCTACTTATAGCTAGACCACAAAAAGGCACTCAGGCAACATTAAGTTTCTGACTTATGCCTTAAAAAGCAAGAAAATTCAAATAACCGTTACATTACAACATATTTTAGTTCAGATGCTATATGAAAAATAAACCTCTGCAATGCTTGGAAAGTCATTTTATTTTATTTGAAGATACCTAACGCATACTCAAAAGAAATAGTATAATGGTATAATGATGGTATGATTCAAAGAAAATATCCAAGACTCACTTTTATAACATGAGAGTTTAGTGAGGGGTCACAATGATTTTTCTTTACTTCACTATTTGAATACTATTAAGATTTCAAAAATGCATGGAGCATTTCACTAGTTTGTTTCATAAGGTAGGTCAGTTTATTTCCTATATCCATCAGAACTTTCTGACGTGTGCATTTAAGAAGTACACCTAGTTGTGCTACAGCATGTATCATGCCAGTTATTTAGTTTCAGTCAAACAAATAATCACAAAATTACTGACCTATTAATAGAGCGAATCCCAAATTTACTTTTGAGATAACGATCAGAAACATGGAAAATTGCATAATTGGTCTTTTATATTATTATTTATTATTCTCATAAACCCAAATTAGATTGTGCTACAGAGCAATGCATGAGTAGTCATCATGTTACTCAACTTGCAAATGCAGTGGGTGTATTTTTAATTAGCATCCTTTAAAACAGATAATAAATTATTGGATTAAAATCTTAACAGCCAAACAACTAATAAGACCATCAGCCATTTGAACAGTTAGACTGACAGCCTCAGACCCATTCACTCCATGCTGAGAAAGCCTTCCCAGAAAATGCATTTGCAGAAAGAAATGGGGCAAAGGAAAGTAATGGAGATAAAAGCTGAATAATTTTAATCACTGGGTAACTTATTGATTGTGTGAGAATTTTGCAAAGCATGAGTTATTGAAAATTTAATGGCCATCTTAGTTGCAGCTTAGCTGTAACGTAAGAAGGAAGCATATTCCAATTAATCAGCAGAGCCGTGAAGGGAAAGAGGAATAAAGACTAGAGGGTGGTGAGTAGGAGCCCATTTCTGGCTCTGCAAAGGGAGCATCAGAAGAGAGTTCTAGTAACTGAGCATCCAAACTATGTTCATGCATGTTAAAGAAAGCCCTGCAGTCAGACTCGCTGAGGAAAAAGAACAGGAGATAAATAGCTCAGTGTCCAAAGGCCGAGATTCTCTCATGCAAAGAGTGTCGACTCAGAGTCTACCAACCTGTTCTTGTAAGGCTGGTTCCCTCCAGCCTAAAACCAGCTTTATCTGCTGCTGCCACCAGTGCTTGTGTAAAACTGCCGCTGGCAAAGATGGAGCCATCTGAGGAGCTACCTACACTAGATCTATGACTAGAAAAGTTACGATCCTCGTCAGATGCAGAGCCCCATCCATTTACCATTGAACCTAAAAACAAATGTAGTTGTCTAGTGAGTTGTATATAGTGGATAGCTCATCTGCTTGTACACACTATACTAATGAACAAGTTGGCTGCCTCCACTCCGCACTCTTCCTTGAGGTAAGTCTGCCTTCATCATGACTTCTTTAGCCATATGCAAGCATCATCCATGTTTGGGACATTTCTACTGCAGAAGAATGAAGCTCATTTAAAACCCGAATCTGTTTGCAACACGTGAACGAAACATGTTCTGTATGGTTCCATTCTTACATACTTTAAATTATGACACCATTATTTTCCAGAAGAGAATTGCTATGTATATTTTAAAGCCTACAGTTCAGAGAAAAACATTTTTACCGAAAGAAATGGTGGTGTATTTAAAGTCAATTTATCAAGGACTCAGTTGAACCAATAGGATGAACATATTTTGAATTTAATGCCGACTCTAGTGATAATTTGCAGGAAATCTACACTTCATACTATAGAAGGGCTAGAAATATTTCAAGATTTTAAATAAAAGTTAGTTACTTGGGAAATAACAAATATGAATTATCAAAAATGTATAAATAATATTAGAGCAAATACTTAGAATATAAGAAAAATTTTTCTTTGGAAAGTTCTAGTTTTTTCAAAGCTCAGTAGGATTTCTTCACTTTCTAATTACTTTAAGAACTCCAGTTTCCTTTTTAATATTAATCTTTATTTTAGAATATTAACCATTATAAAGAATAACACTGATATTAATATGGATCTTTCTGCAAAATGCAAGATGGCCATAGAGGAAAAGAATCATAGTTTTATGTAAAGAGCTGCAAAATATAAAGATACTGAGAAATAATGCTTATTCTTAATTTTTAGCAAGTCATTTACAATTTTACACTTTTTCCTTAGACCAAAAAAGGCTGAGACCTGAATCTATTATCTAATACAATTAATATTACAATATTTATTTAGGTTGATGTACCATTAATGTATGACACAATCAAATACCAAATGTTGCTTACCCTAACTTTTTAAAAAGAGAGGCGCAAAGTATTTATAAGAAGCTAATTTAATATCTTGAAATAAACCAACATATAGTCACATAAAAGAGATTAAAGTCAAGTGCCATAGGTTTCTTTCCCCTTTTCTCCAGTATTTCAGAGACTATAGTACAGTTAGAAGTGTTGTCATGATAGAGAATCTGTACTTTTAGTGAAGGGCCAGGATACAGTAACATAGGTTCATGCACTTTTGAGACAAGAGAAAACAGAACCCGGAAGGGTTGGAAGGATCAGAGAAGTTAAAAGGGTGTTAAGTGTTGCAGAGAAAGATAGAGTTTTGATTCCATGTGCCAAAAGCACAGAGATACACTTTTTACTTTCCATACAAATTCCCTTGACACAGGCCACTGCAAGGAAGCCAAGATAACACCAGCAACTGAGCCTCCTCTGAGAGAACCATTTCTGAGTTAATCATCACAAGTCAAGGACCAATAGCCCAAAATGAAAGGAGAAATGATGCAATCGGCATTGCAATATAATGCTACAGTAGATAAGAAAAAACCAAAGTGATTCAGTCAGTGATCACAGAAGAATGTGAAACCCTAGAGCTGAGGATACTTCTAAAACATGGGAAAGTTCAGTCCCGGTCCCTCTTATGTCCTGTTTTCTGTGTTTCTAAATGTCTGCTGAACATCTGCAAAAAATCTGTACTGACTCTCTGAAACTCATTCTCCAAACAACCATCTCCTTTTCTGCATCTCCAGTTACATTCCTAAGCCCTTCCTAATTGATTTCCTTCTAGTCCCTTCCATCTTCCTCATTGCCATCCGAATTATTTTTTTGAACCATTTATCTCTTATTCTGTTATTCCATTCAAGCCTTACCTAGTTTGCTGATTCCACATCTAAACACCAAATGAGGTATCTGAGATCATTGCATATCCAGCCCAGCCTATCTTTGCAGTCCCATTCCCTCTGACAGCCTGCACAGTTCCATTGCCTCACCTCTATGGCGTTAGTTCTCATTCCTTTGACTCACTTCTGGATTGTTACTAACTCTATTAACCACCACCTAACTTCATAGTCCAAATCAATATCATCCGTTTTATCACTCTGATTCTGCCTCATCTTCAACACTGCCTTAGGAGAATCAGTCTCCCTACCTCCTGTGTTTTTTAAACAGTATGCATACAGTAGCATATCAGGTCTCTACAAATGACAGTTTGTGGCATATACGGAACTCTGGAGATTAGAAACTATATTATTATTCATTTTCGTATCTCACATACAGGGACATCACACAGTAAAAATTCAGTAAACATTGGGCATAATGAATTAGATGTCTTCACTATTTTCATTATTCAGTATAAATTCTGTATGTGATTCTATTCCATGTGTAATTTCCTAGCAACGGCCTTATTTTAGTTACAGAAAAAAATGTACCCATAAGAACTTCTAGAAAATGTATTAAATGAGGAATATAAGGTCAGTCAACTCTTGTTGATTACTCAGACAAGAGGGAAAGCAGTGATGTAATTAGTCCTTCATGTGAAGATTTCCACATGCACGTTTGCCAATCCTTAAACAAATCAACTATTTCCCTGTCTCTGTGTCTTTGCTCTGTTTTTATCTAAATCACTAATGTCCTTACCATGCTCTCAGAAATCTCAGTTATTCATGAAGTTTTCTCTCATGCTTTATTCCCTTCCCTGGGAAGAGAGGGACATGGAAGACATGGCTTCCAGTTGGTGATGGTCAGTATAGAAAGATACTTTCTTTTCACTACTCTCAGTAAGTACAAAGACACTAGATACATGATTTCAGAGTTGAAGAGATGTGTGCCATAGAAATTTGCTCATGATGGGCAACAGGAAACCTCATCAGCTTCAACTAAAGAGGGGCAAGAGCCCTCAGCGTGACATAGTTGAGTTTGCCTTCAAAATGGAGGGCACACACACACATGAAACAATAAACAGAAGGAAAATTTTTTTCTTTCCCTCTTTGTCCATCTGTCTTTATCTTTGACTGCCCATCGACTCTATTTGAGATACAGCATATATATGATATAAAGAATGGGGACATTTGCAGGAAATATTTCTAAAGAGAATTGGCAATATGCATGAATAAAAAAGTATTTAACATATTTTAAATTTCCTCCATGTTATAAAATTGTGAAAATTTATTTAACAATTACTGATCCCTCTCTGTGGCTACCATTCTTTCTTTCTTTAGATTTAAATACCAAGAATGATCTGAAGATTTCTGTAAACTATTACAAAAAAGGAAGACAATGATGCTAAGAAAAGAAAGACATTGATTCATCAATTAGAAAGTAGGCTATTTTTGTGATAACCAGTTTTCTTTAACAAAGGTAAATATAAACATGAAAATTGAAATGAGCACTTAGGTAAAACAGCTCAGGCAGAGATTCTTCACAAATTACAAGCAATCCATACCAATTTGACATGTTATAGCCAAACATAATTAACACATATTTAAACATTTAATGAAAAATGAATTTGTGTCACATAGCCAGATTTACTTGTGTTTACATTTTCCATCTTTCCAAAGTTCTCAGGTTTAAAAATTGCTGAAAGGCCAAAAAAGTCTCAAATTTATTCAAGCTGTTAAAGAAGAACTGCAGATAGGACATTAAGTTGTTGCTCAAATGTTACCGAGCAGTAAAATACCATGATAAAGTGGCATCTTGCTGTGTCTCCATTACATCTTCAGCACTAAAATTAATTTATGATCAGTCATCAATTCATTTACATGTCGTTTTATGCAAACTCCTTCCTTGCTGATAGACGCTTATCCTTAGATCCATTAAGTTAGAGTAAAGTGTGTGCTTTGTAATATGACCCTGCTAATTGTTGCATTACCATTTTTATGAGATACCAAAACTGGCTGTCCCCCATTTTTTCAGCCAATATTTAATCCAGGAACTCTTCCTATTAAGTGCAATCTGTCTAACTATCTGTTAAATAAAATCTTTAGCTCTAAGTGTCTTTGGACAAATCAATACAAATATTGACCTCTGCCTAGATGTAGAAAAACATGCCTAATCTTTAGAAGTCCTTCTTTCACTCAGATATATTGAATATGCATCAATTCACCTACGTTCCTCAGAGAGAAAGGAATGTGTAATATACATGGAAAGTAAAGTAAGAAATTAAAAAAAAAAATCTCTTCCTTGGGACCTCTGACATCTGCTAACTGGATCTACTCAAGTAAAAATTGAATATATGATATTCCCCTTTTATCTGTTAAATTTGAAGTGTGTATTTAATGTCTTTTTAAATACACCAGAGCGCTAAGAAAATTATTTAATGATTTTTAGCATTATCTCTGAAATGTCCCTATTACAAAAATATTTCCCTCAAGTTTTTGTAACAAAAGCAAGGCGTCAGGTCATGTTTTTCAGTGGCCAATTCTCTAAAAGCTGTGTGGTCTAGTAAGGTGGTTATGCTGCCAGGTTTTATTGTTTTCAAAACGATCTGCTTTGGGACTTTCAGCAAAAACCTCCAAAGACATAAAATACAGAAAATATAGAGCCCCGATTTCCTTTCAGCCATAGTATTTACGTGGGGCCCAAAAATAAAGGAAACTTTTACTCATTTCACTTCCCACCACTCATCCTCAGCCTCACTTTTTGTGGTCACTGAGGCAGTTAGAATCTTGGCTCCATGCTCAGGATATTTTCTTCCTGCCCGCTCTCCTATCGCTTTCTGTTTCTTTTTCCCTGTGGTGGTGGAGTCATTAAATCCAGGAAACACTCACCCTTGACTCCCACCATGGAAGTCAAAGAAGGAATTATCAAAGGCACCCGCCATCCCATTACCCAAAAATGGTGGGTTTGGCGTTTAGGAAGAACTAACTACAAGCACATTCTGGAAGACTGAAACAATTCTGTGTTTACTTTCCAGACCAAAAAAAAAAAAGTGATGTGATGTAATCAAAACATTTTTGTACTTTATTACAACCAAAAAGGTTTAAATTGTAAGTATAAATTAAATAAAAATTATAAAAATGTGATTCCCTTCAAAAAGTGCTAATAGAGTTGAAATTTGTTAGCATGAGTCACTATAACTGAATATAGAACTTAATGTGAGAAAAACAACTAATAAACGTGACATCTAAAAATTACTGTTTTTAGTCTTGATTAAGTGTATGGGGGTGAAAACTGATGTTTCTAGAGGTAATATAATATGTTGTATTTGTATAAATACATATTTATTCATACATGTATACATGCACACAGAAAGGGAGAGGAGAGAGACAGACTAGGAAATCATTTTCCTCCTGAATATGCTAAATCCAGAAATGAGAAGAAAGTTGAGCATTTCCAGAGCAAGGATCATGATAATTTATCTTCAGAGTAAGACTGACTGATTTTGAACATTCTTATGCCATTTATCAGGTGGGTGACCTTAAAAAAGGCTTTAAGCCCCTCTGTGACTCAGTTTCCTTATCTATAAAATGAGAATAAAAATAGGGCTGTGACAATTAAATAAGTTAACATACAACAGGGATCAGCAAACTTTTTCTATGAAGTGCCAGATACTAAACATTTTCCACTTTGCTGTCTCTGTCATATATTTTTTCTTTTTGTTCCTTGTTTTCTTACAACTGTTTAAAAATGTAAGAAACATTATTAGCTCACTAAGCCACACAGAAAGAAAACAAGCCACTGTTCAGAAGAATGCCTTTCATGTAAGGGCTATATATGTGCAAGTTATTATTATTACTATTATTATTATTAAATCTAAACACCCAGCCAAGCGGCTGGAAGGAAAAGATATTCCATAGATATCTGTTGTGGAAATAAATAAATAATGTAACAGATTTTCAAAACACATTTTCCATTCCTGAGTTTTATGGACTCAATGTTGATGTCCCCCTAAAATTCATACATTGATGTTCTAACCCCTAAGGTTATATAAAATTTTGAGGTGGAGCCTTTGAGAAGTAATTAGGTTTAGATGAAATTATGAGAGTGAGAGTCATTATGATGCGATTAGCGATCTTATAAAAAGAGACCAGAGAGCTTGCTCTCTCTCTCTCTCTGTCTCTCTGTCATGTGTGGACACAGCGAGACGTCTCTCTACCAGCCAGGAAGAGGGCTCTCAACCGGAGCCCAACTTGCCCGCACCTTGACCTTGGACTTCTCAGCTTCCAGAGCTATGAGAAATAAATATTTATTGTATAAGCCATCTAGTCTATGGTATTTTGTTGTACCAACCCAACCAGCCTCAGACACTGAGATTATGGGCTACAGAATTCCTGATACTTTCCTCTCTTCTTGGCCTTTTCCATTCATGAACCATTATTTCAAAAATTTTAAAGTCCTCATAAATTACTTAGTTGTTATGAAAATATTTGAAAATAATACATCTATTTCTTTACAAAATGGGCTCTGTACTTTGTTAACTGCTGACAGTCCTTAATGTGGCAGTTGTTGGAATAGAACATATTTCAGAAGTAGAATTCTGAATAATTTTATATGAGGCTTATTAGCCCATCTCTGTTATCACTGGATTTTATCCTGGTTGGCGTTAGAGTTTCAGGGAATGGGACACAACTGTTAGTTCTATTTAATAAAAAAAGGTCATTAGTTTCATGAAAATGAAAATATCAGAGAATTCAGATGAACGTAATGACTAATGTACTCACACCACCCATGACTTTAGAACACAAAGTAAATTAAGATAAAATCAGAATCCTCTCTGTGGGCACTTACCATCTTAAAAACATAAAAAGCCAATGGAAATATTCTTTGTTTTATTGCCCACCTCATTTAGCACCATTAAACTAGCCTTGAATGTCTGAAGAAAACATAAACATGTTAGAGCAATATTCATTAGCATGTTGATTTCTGTAACATTTGGTCTGTACGTACATTCATCTCAGGGCCACCCCCATGTACACGAACATGTGAGCACACACGTTCTAATACACCCAGGACCCAATTTATATTCATGTACACACTCCTACATGCACTCACACATTTCCATATGATCACAAACCATTTCCATATGATCACAAACCCTGTCTATACATCCAGACACACAATTCTGTACACACTTACACTCGCTACACACACATCTTTTTTGGAAAAAAATGTATTTACTTTTATTTTTAACTTGTATTTACTTATATTACATTTACACCCCAGAGAGCAAATTAAATCATTGATCTTATCTTCCCCACAAAGTTACTGAAAAGCCAAAAAGACAAAAAGAAAGAAAAGAGTTTCCTACTTGGCTACTTTTGTGTAGAGTGCAGCTTCTTTTCCTAAGGAGAGGTGTTAGTCACAGGATAAACTTATTGTGGAATACATACCTAAGCACCTTGAGGTTTTTATATATGGCAGTAATTAAGCAGTGAATTCAAGTAGGAAAACAGTGTTTTCTTGGCAATAAAAGCATCATTTGGAATGAACATTATACTAGCTACAAGGAGAAATTCAGAGTGTTTCTAACCACAGTCACATTAGATGGTGAAACATATTATGAACAGATGAGCATGTGAAAGTTCACAATGACATTCTCCTGATTTATAGATACATTTATCATCCTTGACATTATAATATTTAATAAGAGAACTACATAGGCTGTGGCTGGCTTTTATCATTGCAATTCTTTACTGTATTCCTAATGGAAACGAGTTCAGTATCATTAGTGAGACATGTAAAAATATGCAGAATTTTAGCCTGAAGGAGATTATGCTAGAAATTCTGGCAAAGGGGCTTAACATAACAGTGCCCTATTAAGTTAGCTCTCTGCATTCAAGGGTTTAAACTTTTGCTCTGACACCTTCAGTTGGAGTTGGATTTCAAATCACAGCAGTAGATCTGCAGTTCTTAAATCTTAATTAGCTCGGCAAGCAGACAGCCCCCAGGTAAGAAGAAAAACGGGAAAGTGTAGGCTCCTGCATTACACCGTGTGATTTGGGAGTCACACAGAGGGAGAATATAGGTACCCGTGTTTCTCCATCCCTGTCATAAAGCAGTTTCCATCAGTGTTTTTGAAATCTAACACGCAGTGCAAAATCCATGCCAATCAAGAAGCTGTTGGAGTAAAAATGAATTAAATGGGGTTGTGGTAAAATCCTTCCTAGAATGAAGGGTATCACGAAGTTAAATATAGAAATGGGTGCTTTACTGAGAAGATGGGCGACATACCCGGGCAACACACAGGTCGCAGTTATGTCTCTATAGTCGTGTAAGAGGCAACTTTGTGTGTAAAAGAATAGACACCTACTTGAGTAGGAAGAGAGAATTTTTCCTTCTCTCCATACTCATTGTGTATACATTAGGATTTAAGTTTTTGCAATAAAATTTGATAAATTTAAATCCTTGGAAATAGGCTGC